GTCTATCTGTCTCTCAGTCTGAATATGTGTCCATCTTCTCTATACTAGTCTGTCTATGTAAATTGATTTTATCCCTGGATCAATTGGATTCTTTATCAAATAAATGACTTAAATTTATTTACTTTTAATTCAATATTGACTTCAATACATAAAATAAATTCTTAGGATTGGAGAAATTACTATTGCATAAAACTTTATTCTCATAATTTTGAAATAAAGATTTTTTCATTAAGACGGATTATATATAAGAGGGTGTTTCATTAAGACGGATCAAAATCAACAGTAAATAAATCAGTGTTATTGGTGAGAATTTATTTATTTCTCTATTGGATCATGTTATTTAAGCCATGGCACTTCTGTGTGAATAATAATATCGCCCAAATGTCCGCCAAATTTGAAAGTAAATTAAAAAAATCATTAGATGCTTAAACTTAATTCACATTAAAATCGGTCCAACTTATTGGAACCCCCTTTACAAATCAGTATATATATATATATATATATATATATATATATATATATATATATATATATATATATAGATCCTCGACAAAGACAATCTACATTTAAGATAAATTTTCCACCAAACCTGTCTTCTGATCATTTTCTCTTCTCTAGAGAAATAGGTCAGAAGACATTCAATGTCAGGTATACAAAATTGTAATCAGTGGAGCAGTAAAAATGCTTCTATGTCAGTAATATGTGGGGCGCCATATGTATCTATCCGGCTGTATGTTTGCATGCCTCTATCTTTCTCTATCTCTCTATCTATCTCTCTCACTCTGTCATTATCTCTATCTCTCTCTCTAACTCTGTCATTATCTCTCTCTCTCTCTGTCATTATCTCTTGTAAATTAAGACCGACACAATTTGTGACTTCTTTTTATTTTTCATACCGTTGTTGACATGAAAGCAAAATTGTTTCATTATTAAAATTTCCTTTCAAGGAAATTTCACCTTGTTGAAATTCAAATTAAATTTGAACATCAAATTATCTATTGACCCTTGACCCGCAATAAAGTTGCTTTCATTCATGACCATCAACAATTCAACTTCTAATCACACGACTTTTACGATAATAATTAGTAATTATTGTTGACATAATAAGCAATTGTTTAAAGTAAAAGGTAAAATGAAATTAGGACTTGAAATGATTTATTATCTCTAGACTCTCAGTAAAGTTGCTTTTATTCCTGACCATCGACTATTCAGCTTCGATTCACCCGACTTTTATGAAAATGAAGCATATATTGAATATATTATATTCCCACAAGTACTAGTAATATTAGTAGCAGTAGTAATATAATCATCACCAATTTCTTCATAAGTAAAAGGCATTCAGTTTTAAAACAATAATGTCTGTTCAGTACGGATCAAGTGACACCAAGTCTCTATAATTTCCATCAGTGCCTCTGTGATTATTATTATTATTATTATTATTATTATTATTATTATTATTATTGGTGTTGATCTCTGGATTTGTTCTTCAACATTTTACCAAAACTTTGAGATATTTCTCTAAATTTGTTTAAAAGCAATAAAAACTAAAATGTTTTTCAATAAATATAAAATTGAAATGCATTTGAAAGTTGAATCCATACACGCACATGTTATGTAATGTCATAAAAAGTCAAATAATGCTTGAATATTAATTAATGAAGGTAATTTAAGTTCGAATTCATGGAAGTTAAACTCTAGAATATATTTAATAGGAATTAACTTCCGAGATAAAATCAATTTTCTTTTCAAAATGAAAATTTAAGTCAATTGTTCCGCGGCTAAAAAAGCAAAAACATTTCTTTCACAACTGATTTGAGGACAACGTTTTCGTAAAAATCATTTTATTGAAAGACGAATAAAAAGAAATAAACAACAACAACAGCAACACAAACAACAACAACAACAACAACAATAATAATAATAATAGCAGGATATTTGAATATTAAAAAGACTTAGCATCATTTGATCTAAAAGTCTATAGAAATTATTGTTTTAAAAGAAAACTCAACGGATTTTTCTTATAATGAAAATTTTAGGCTACTACTACTACTCTTAAGTATTAAGAGTAGTAGTCTATCTATCTATCTATCTATCTATCTTGTACGTAAAAACTGCAACATTTACATTTATTTCAACTCACTTTACATTGTCAAGATGTAGTAGAGGGGGGGATGCCCCCGTGTCGTAGATTTTGGTATGAGTGAGGCACCAAAACCTGGAGATGATGAGGACTCTTTTTGGCTTCATTTGTATTTTTCCATTCGTCTATATTGTGTATTTTTCTTAGTTTCCTACACAAGTTTTCTACTAGTTTTTGGCTTCTTTTTCCCATATTAGTTTTTGTAGGATTTCATTGTCTTCATGTTGGTATATTTAAAAAAAAAATGTCTTTCTGATCTTTTAATTTAATGAATGCTTTTACTTTCATTGTTTCATTCTATTATTTAATTTTAGTTTCGTTGCTATGGTTTTTACTTATTTATTTTGGTTCTTTTCTAATTCATTATTGGTAGTTTGGTAAAATTTATTTACCTTTTTTCAATAATTGCTTTAACAATATTACAAATAAAAACAATTTCTCTTTTATACAATTTTAAATATAAAAGACTTTTATCGATCTAATACTAAAATCACTGGCGTCACACACACACACACACAAGTAGACAAACACACAAATAAGTTTTATATATCACACACACACACATCATCTATCATCTATATATATATATATATATATATATATATATATACCCAGTTTTTTCGTTCAAATGAACAAGTTTAAAACAATTTAATAAGAATAATCCAACCACTAGATTATTGAGGGCGTTACTTTGTTCTTCATAATATGTAAAGAAGAAACTTGGAAAAAATGAAGGGGAAAGAGGAAGGGAAGGAATGGTCATAGAAGTCCGAGAGAAATCATGAAAGTTTAAAAAGGATTGACGAGAATAATTGATGACAGAGGTGAAGGGAAAAGTATGGAAAGGGAAGAATGGTCAAGAAGTGAGAAAATCGAAAAGAAACAAAGGAAATCAATAGATAGGGACAAAAAGATAAAAGAAAATGTTCATTATATATATATATATATATATGTTCATTTATATATATATATATATATATATATATATATATATATATATATATATATATATATATTTATGTATGTATATTCATACACATATTGCTTAATATGTTGTAATTGACATCTTTGATAATGGCTTATGTAAGCCGAAAGCTTAGATTGTATTAAAAAAATATGGATGAATATTATTGTGAATTTCTTGCTTCGTTTAATGATAATGTTATTAAATATATCAGACGTTATGAAAAGAATTTAGATAAAATAAATAGACAACACTTGTCTATATTATTTAATGAAACATGTATGAATGAAAAAAATGCTGCCTAAATACACACAATATATGTATATATATACATATACATATATGTATTAGGTTGGTGCAAAAATAATGCCTTTTTCTCACATAGTAACATATGTGAAAAAACGATATATATATCCTCTCTGCTCATTATATATATATATATATATATATATATATATATATATATATATATATATATATATTAAAGACATTTTTTTATGTTTAACATTCTTTTTTATAGATACAAGTATTTTTTAGTAAATGCTCTGTTTATAATAAACAGTATCAAATAACATTTACCGGCCTGAATGTCCGAGAAATTTTCATAGAAAATATTCGTCCTTTGACAGGATTCAAACCTGCATCCTATACGGAACCGTCATTTACGCTGACGTGCCTTAACCGACTCGGCCACAAAGGAGCGTTTTTATAAGCAGTAAATTCGGCCTTGCCTAACGAAAACTCATATACACACACAGACACACACATACACATACACACACATACATACATATATATATAATATATGTATTACATGTTACTCGAGTATATATATATATATATATGTGTGTGTGTGTGTGTGTGTGTGTGTGTGTGTGTGTATTGCTAAAATTAGTTGCCAGTATATATATATATATATATACATTTCCAAGAGGATTAAATCCAGTAAGAGGTCTATATACAAGACAGAGCTAGAATATAATATAAAAGTCTCGAAGACTAATATTCCATGGTTATAAATTATTCCATTGGAATTGTAATCAGGATCCAATTCTTCAGACCTACAAATTCAAAAAGCAAACAGAAAATATAAAACAGAAAATTTTACTCCGGGAAAATTATTTCCAATATAACAAATAACCATGGAATATTAGTGTTTCAGCCTTTTACATTATATATATATATATATATATATATATATATATATATATATATATATATATATATAAAATAAAAAAGGCTTAAACACTAATGTCCTGGACATTGAGTTCTACCTAGATTCTATCCTCTTGGAATTTTTATTAAAAAAATATTTATGCATGTGTAGCATCTATGTATATATATTTATATATTTTGCATATATATGTGTATATTTACCACTGATATTATATATATATATATATATATATATATATATATATATATATATATATATATATATATATTTACCACTATACACACACACATATATATATATATATATATATATATATATTACGGTTATATATATAAAAAAAGTTTTTGTATAATTTATCATCTGAAAAGAAAAAAATATTAGATCGCATGAGAAATTGTAAAAAAAACTAAATCAAAGCACCTTGTCAGATTTATTGAATGTAATGTGCATAAAAGAAGGATTGCTGCCTAAATACATACACACACACACACACACACACACATATATATATTTAAATAAACTCATCGAGTCTGAAACCTCAACAGAATGAACGGCCGTTTCGTCCTATATTTGGGACTCATCAGCAGTGCGCATCTACTACTGAGAATTGAAACCCTGACATTTAGGTTGACAAGCAAACATTATACCAACTGTTCGAACGGGCCTCCAGGTGGCACAGCCCTATGGTTAGAGAGAAACTCAGTAGAGTTCTACCACGGAATATGTGAGCAAGCGGCGCAATATTGAGTCTGATTTTGCAATCACTTCGTCACCAAGGCCCATTGGAAAAGTTGGTCCAGTGCTTTTTGCATTCTGTTGAGCTTTCAGACTTGACGAATTACTTAAATATAATTAACAAATCCCCCTAATAATTTATATATATATATATATATATATATATATATATATATATATATATCATGGATTCATTTATTTCTGTATGTGTGTGTGGTTTGAAAACATTTCATGTTTTCTTTTTATCTATCTATCTATCTATCTATCTTTTATCTACATAAATATTCAGATAAAAATAAAATACATCTGGAAAATTACAATATGAATAAAGACAAAATGAAAAAATACTTTTCTTTACCAATTCGTTTTTACATATATATATATATATATATATATATATATATATAATACTGAAGTCAACACTGAGACACAATCTTCAGACCATATATAATGTACGTGTGGCATATATTAAGACACAATTTACCTAGCAATGTGATGTGTCCGTAGCAAAAACGAAAGAAAAAACCAAAAAAGAAAAACAAAACACACACACACACACACACACACACACACATATATATATGAGAAGACATTGAAATCAATGCCGAGAGGCAAAAATCTTTTTCATGCTTAAACGCAATCTTCATGTCATATGTGTGTGTGTATGCTTGCGCATATGTGTTTGTGTGTGTGGGAGTTACGTGTGTGTGTGTCTGCGTATGTGCCGTGTGTAGACACAAGTTACCTAGCAATGTGTGTCCGTAGCAAAAACGAAAGAAAAGACCAGAAAAGAAAACAAAATGAACAAGTAAATCCTAATCTCTGTCACATCAAACAGATAATCACTTATCGTCACAGTTTTATAATTTCGTTTTCTTTTTAATCTTTTCAACTGATGATGTCACCTTTTAAGTGACACCTTAGTTTTGAAAGCCATTGTCAGTGATGATTTCAATCAAATTCCTTTACCATTCAAACTGTGATGTCTATGTGTGTGTGTGTGTGTGTGTGTATAACGAATGCACGGCCGCAATTTTCGACAGATTTGCACCAAAATTTACATGCACATGCTCCAAGTTAGCAGGAAGGCCATGAGTCTTTTTTCATTCGGTTTTTCCAGCTACGAGTCCTTTTTTTAAAGCTGATCGTTTTGTTTTCATTTTGTTTAGTTCCTTTTTCGTAACAGATTTAATGTTTAGTATAGAGCTTAGAAAAAAAAAAACGCAGTGTGAGATAGGCAAGAAGTAAGGCATGTAGCAACATCAGCACGGAAAAAGGGCACTCCTTTAAAAGGCAAGTAAGGGCAAAAATATTTTAAGTCAAGTGATAGCTATTGCTGTATGAGTCGTACGATTTTTTTTTCAATACAAACAGGCAACGCCCCATCATGCTACTAGTATATATATAAAAGATTGGTGTATACGGACTAAATTCAAATAAAGAAAAAATACATAATAGAGCAAATATAATTTATTCAATAATTATAACATAAATATGTTTGTCATGGTTTTATAACATATTTATGTTATAATTTTTGAATAAATTATAAAGTTTGAAGTTTTTCTGGATCTGTCTGAATATATGCAAAAACAGTTTTGGAGTAATCGACAAGAAAAATTCGGACTCAGTCGCGGTCATTCGTCCTCCATTACGGGCATTGTTTTTAATAATTTCAGCGCTGGACATTTCCATTCGCGCAAGCATAAATTTTGGCCCATTTACTTCTTTTACTGATAATACTTGTCGAAATCACTACGCATTATCGTAAAGCAATTTATTTATTTTTTGATAAGCGTAGTTTTATTTATAACAGAAAACTTTAAACAAAAACGAATTAAATAATATAATAAAACCTTTTTTCTGTGTAGAATAGCAATGACAAATTAAAGGAACAAATTAAATAATACAATAAAGAATTTATTTTTTAAAATTGAAAATAAAACAATAATTAATGCACAAACTTGGTAAAGTTCAAAGGTAATTTACAAAATAAAATTACAACGTAATAAAATGCTAGAAATGAAATTCTAACATCACACACACATATATATATATATATATATATATATATATATATATATATATATATATATATCAGAGATAGAGCGTGTGTAAATATAAAAGTGAACATAGAAGTCAACACTTAGAGGCGACAGTCTGTTTCATGCTATATGCAATCGTCAGGCCACATGTGCTCTCTCTCTCTTTCTTCTCTCTCTCTCTCTCTCTCTCTCTATATATATATATATATATATATATATATATATATAATAGTGCTTCCAACGAGAGAAAAGTCTGTATATTAAAAAGAAGAGAGGTACCGCTAACGTTTTTGGTTGTAATGTAGATTTTTTTAAAAAATATTATGCTTTATTTTCCATAATTTTACTACACGTGTTTCTGCTCTCACGACCATCATCAGGCAAAGGGTGGAGATGTCCACATATTATTAAAAATAATAAATTTTTTTCCTTTATGTTTTTCGATGTTAAATATTCTCGATATGAGACATTTTCTGTTTTTGTGTTAGTAATCCGATATGTCTTTCTTGAACTGGCAGTGAAGAGTTCTCTGCGAAGGGTCATAAATCAATTAAGGTTGGTCCAAGAGAAATGATGAATGAGTTATCGGTATTTTATCTTTTAATGTTTTATTGACCCCTGTGTGTTCTTAGATCTATTTCCATTTTCGTGTGTTTCTCTCAGCATGCGTGTGTATATGCGTGTGCATATTCCCCTCCATACATACACTGTCTCACTACGAGGAATTAGTAAACACATTTGTACATATACACACATACATAAACACACACACACACACATACATACCGTCCTACCCCAAGGAATCTGTACATACACATACATACATACATACACATACTTCCCAAGTTCCATGGAACCAGTATACACATACACACACACACACACATATATATATACATACACACGTACTTCCCAAGTTGTGTGGAGTCTGTGTGAGTGCCCGTGAGTAGTTATCCTGCTTTTGTCAATATGCGCGTATATATATATATTTTTCGTGTTCCACAGATACTCGCATTTGTTTTGTGTTTTTTGCGTGTGGGGTCATGATCTATTTAGTTCCGTTTTAAATTTGTTTATGAAGTTTTTTTTTCTTGTATTTGTAGGTAAGAATAATTGTCTGTTTGATATATTGGCATAATATTAAATTTATGATGCAATCATCTAAGTATCTTTTCCAATATTTAATGAATTTGGTTTTAATATTTTCCCCATATATTTGTTCTATCCTTTCATAGAGGTTTTCTTCTAGCTAAGCTAATGTTAGGGTGGCATATGTTGGTGCCAATTTTGTTCCCATTGCAGTACCAGGGTTTGGATATAGTTTTTGTTTTCAAATTCAAAGGTGTTATTGTTTAGAATTAGTTCTATGCTATCGATAATGAACTTTTTAGTGAATCTCGAATGTAGTATTTCTGGATGTTTTTCAATCCAGAATGAGATTGCTTTCTCTCCTAGTTCATGGGGTATGTTACTATATAGGCTACTGATGTCAAAAGTTGCCATAATCGTTCCCGGATCTACCTTTTATGGTATGCAGCTAAGGAAATGGATATCGTCTCTGATGTGGCTTTTAATTTGTTTAGTATATGGTTGCAATATTATGTCTATTAGGTTACTGAGTTTGCTAGTTGGACAGACTGGTCCTGCTACTATTGGTCTGAATATAAGGTCACTGGGGTTTGGGATGCTAATGTATTCAGATTTTTGTGTATGTATAACTGCTTTTATTTCACTCGATTTATGAATTTTAGGTAGTCCGTAGAAATTACTTGTTTTTAGTACAAAGTTTATTAGGAAATCCTTCTCTTTTTTTTGTTAATATTTTATTATGTTGTGCAGAGTTTTGTAAATTTTTGATATAATGTTTTTGTCTATGTTAGTGTCAATTCATTTGTAGTTGTTCCAATCCTCTAGTGTTTCTAGAATGTTTGTTTTATAATATGTTCTGTCCATGATTACTATAGCGCTGCCTTTATCTGCTTCTTTTATAATTATGTTATTATTTTTTCGAATCTTCTCTAAGGCTAGTCTTTGTCTATATGTGAGGTTGTCGAATGGTTTGGATTTTTCCTGTACGTCGAGGTTCCAGTGTTTTTCAAAAAATATATATAAGCTCATTGGTATTGTTATTTTTGTTTGGGAATAAATTGGATTTGTTTTTTTACCAGTGACTCATCTGTAATATTTTCGCTATTATTAAATATTTCTATTACTCTCAATTTGCGTTCAAATTCCTTAAGGTCTTTTTTTTTAGGTCTGCTATATTGCTTTTTGGAGCAGGGCAGAATTTTAGGCCCAATTTCAGTAGGTTGATTTCGTCATTTGTAAGTGTATATGTAGATATGTTTATTATTATTTGTTAGGAGGCGTATTCCAGACGTTTCTAGATTTATTGTTTTTATATGGGTTGTATGTGGGTTGTGTGTAGAACTTATCGGGAAATTCTGATTGTACTCCTGGTACATACATATATATATATATATATATATATATATATATATATATATATAGATAGATAGATAGATAGATAGATATATATGATATAGGTAATGGTTGTCAGGTTTGGTTTGTTGTGCTAGGTGGTATTTGTAAGTGTTGGTTTTGTGAATGTGTGTGTATTCTGATCTTTGTCTGTGTTACGGTGCGGGGGTCTGTGTAGGTTTGTTTTTGGGCTCTTCACTGTATGTTCAGAATTGTTTTTGTTATGTGGGTGTGTTTGTGTGTGGTGGTACGCTGTATTAGGCTTCCTACCTTGTGGATATTTTGGCGTATAGTGGAATGTGTTAGGGTGTTTAAATTTTAAAAAAGTCTTTTTTCTGTAAGAAATAAAAAAATATCGATTAATAGGAATTGGTTTCGATTCGTCAGAAATTTCAAATATTGAGTCGATCAATTCTTATCGATTTCTTACTTTTTGTTTCATTTCAAAATTCAATTTCATTTTCACATTTTCTTTCAACCAGTCGGAGATGGTCGGAGAAAAATTGTTAAAAAAACGAAAATATCTTGCAAAATCAATCTTTTAACGTTGAATTTGCCTTGACTCATATTACAAAATTCAACAGTTTTTCTGTAATTATTTACCTGAATTCATATAGCGAATAGATTGAAAACTTTTACAAAAATTAAAAAAATAATTTATTCACATTTTTTTTAAAAAATCAAAAGAGACAAAAACCGAAAATTTAAAAGAAATTTTATTTGTAATATTTTTAAAATATCAAAATTTGTTTACAGAATTGTTTTTAAATTATTTTGAAAATTTTCATTAATTTTTTCCGTCGTTTTCAAAAAAAGCAAACAATTTTCTGATAGAGACAAAAATCTACAGTGCAAACGAATCGTAGAACCGCGAAGAAAACTCCTCTTCCAGCGACCATACACCAGAAACTACGTCCTTGTCTTTGTCGTCGGCGATTAACAAATGGCGTAAATCTACGAGCCATTTTCCCGCCTTCTCCAAGAGATTTTCTTTCTCTTGGAGAACTTGGCGCCATTTCCTTTCTTCTTCGCTCCTTTTTCGTTCCATTTGGTCGCACAACTCTGCGGCCTTCATCCTTGTCTTTTCCAGAAATTCATTAAATTCCTGACAGACTTTTGAGCAATTCAATTCGCAATCGATTGACAATTGTTCAATCGATTTCTTCGTTAGTTCAATTATTTCACAGATCCGACTTTCAAAATCTTCGATTTCTTTCTCTAGTTTCTGGCCGAATATTTTTGCTTCCTTTATCTCATTCCTCAAAGACGAAGCCATTTTTAGATTTCTTTCAAGCAAAATGAAATCTGAAAATGCAAAGGTAAAAGAAAAATCTTTTTAGAAAATAAAAAAAGGTCAAAGTTCAAAACCATAAAAAGTCGATTTCTGAAAACGAAAATAAAATGACTCCAAATATTTAGATTTTAGAAAAAAAATCAAATCGATTTACTTTAATTTTCTTCTAAAATCACAAACAAATGAAGGCGGGGTGGGGTTAAGAGAATGAGATAAGAGAGTGAAGAACGGGGGAGATTGATAGAGAGAAAATAAAATATATGGAGAGAGAGGAGGAAGGAAATAGAGTGTGTTAGAGTGAGTGAAAAGTGAGAGAAATCGAAAGAAACTAAGGAGAGAGTGGTTATCGATGCAGAAGTGAGAGGGAGAGAGAAGAGCAATTAAAGAAACGAAAGGAAAGAAAGGGTAAAAGAAACAGAGAGAAAGGCTCATCTTGCTATACTGTATTTTTTAGCGAATTATTGGAGGAGAGAAAAAAAATAAGGTAAAAAAATGTCTCTAAATATGAATTCGGTGAAAAAAAACAAAACAAAAAAAAAAGAAAAACAACTCACACACACACACAACAGAAAATAAAAGCAGGAATTTTAAAAGGAAAGTAGCCCTATCTTCAATCTTTTTGATCTAATTGGAAAGACTTTATCAGAAATATTAACTAGAAACGCATTTTACCACAGAATCATTATCAGACATTTTTTAACATTATACGGAGAGAGAAAAAAAATCAGGAAAAAATCTCTCTAAATATGAATTCGGTAAAAAAAAAAACTCTCACACACACGAAACAGAAAATAAGAAAAGCAGGAATTTTCTTTGTATTGATGAAAACATTTCGGAAATTTTGATTATTTGGAAATCGATATGAAAATTCTGACTTAAATTTGATTTCCTTCCGATTTCACTTGAATGAAATTAGTTTTTCTTGAAATTTGAGAGACAAAAAATAAGTCTTCTTCCTCGTGTTGTTTCCCGCAAAGTGAATCGAGCGGGAAAGCGCAGTGACGTCATGGGAGAGTAAAGCATTTCATTGGACGAGAATAATCACACCCAACCCGGACAGGTGGGCGTTTCCTTAGATAACAGGGATGATATATATTCTTGTTTCAGTTGAATGAAAAATATCAAATGATTACTTCTAAAATCGCGTACACACACACACACACATATATATACTCGATTAATATGTAATACAAAAGCACACACACACACACATATATAATTTGTATATTTAGGCAATAATTCTTCTTTCATTCACATTTCATTGAATACGACAGACAAGGTGCTTTAATTAAGTTTTCTTTTGATACAATTTCACTTGTGATCTAATAATTTTTTTCGTTTTAGATGATAAATTTTATAAAAACTGTCCGAATGTTCTTTAAATCCGAGCGCTTTCGGCTATACATTTAACCATCTTCAAGAATGAAATATTTTAACTGTTAAATAAGAAATAGTTTGTTGCATATATATTTATTTATATACTGTTTTCATTTTTCAAAACACGGTCAAGATATTGTGTCCATGTTCATAGTTGATAATATTAAGTGTTGTTTTTTGTTTTTATTAATAAAGCTTACATTATTTACACACACACACACACACACACACACACACACACACACACACACACACACACACACACATATATATATAGCTGTTTCAATTTGTAGGTCTGAAGAATTGAATCATGATTACGATTCCAATGTAATAGATTATAACCATGGAGTATTAGTATTTGAGCCTTTTATATATATATATATATATATATATGTGTGTGTGTGTGTGTATGTATGTATGTATATAAATGTAGTCTGATGCTTGATAATTAAATATGAATTAGTAAAGGTAATTTAATATTTAATTAATGGAAGTTGAAATCTAGAATTTATGTAATAGGAATAAAAATCTAAGTTAACATTAACTCTGATTTCAAAAAGCTGAAAAAAAAAATTCAAATATAATTTCATGAGTGCGAAAAAGACAAAGTGAAAATAAACTTTTTTTCGTTCAAATTCTAAGAAATGAAAATTTAGTTCAAGATTTTTTTTCGTTTCACCGAGGACAAAAAAGAAATGAGAGTCGGATTTATTTCGAAAAACCTAACACCTCATCTAAATTTCGATGACTTATATCGAATTGCGTACATTTCGGTTTTATTTTAACACACCAACAAAAACAATTAGCGAACTCATAATCTTATTTGACAATAAAATTAAAAAAAAATGTATCTGTATTTTAAAAGGCTTTCAAAGAATTTTGCACAATTAAATTAATTCAAATCTCCCTGTAAAAGATGACAAAAAATGAAGAAATTGCGAGATCATTTCATTTTGAGAAATGTCACGGAAGCATAATCACACACGTACACAATAATTGGGGATATATATATATATATATATATATATATATATATATATATATATATATATATATATATATATATATATATATATATAGTGCTCAAAGTTATTAGACAGTGCTAAGAAATATATGTTCATAAATAAATACATATACCTACGTTTGATGTGAAATACGAATTTCGTTGGTTACCCAATTCATCGTTTATTTTTTATTTTTTAAATAAACAATAAGCGATATCTCGTGTCAGAAGAATTTGGTAATCAACAAACCCGAGTGGCACATCAAACGTAGGCGTATTTGTATTTATTAACATACATACATACATACATACATACATACATACATACATACGTACATACATACGTAGGTAAAAATCACTGCAAGCTTTCTTTGGAGCCATGACCGAGGAATAATGAAGAGAAAGGTATAGTCTGATGCTTAATAGTTAAATATTAATTAGTAAAGATATACATATATATTTTTCATATTCTGAGAAATGAAAATTTAGCTCAAGTTTTTTTTTCAGTTCACCGAGGACAAAAAAAAGATTTATTTCGAAAAACTACAAACCTCATCTAAATTTTGATGATTCATATCGAATTACGCACATTTTATTTTTATTTTTATTTAAACAAGTCAACAAAAACAATGAGCGAACACATAATCTTATTTCACAATAAAATAAAAAATATCTGTCTTTCAAAAGGCTATTGATTGATCACAAAGTCGAGGTTTACTTCATTGTTCGCTAATTTTTCCATGGTAGTTTTATTACATTTAAATTTAATTAATTTTTTTTTTGCATTTTATACTGGAAAATTCTTCTAAAATCATGCAAAAACTATTTTTCAATGGGACTTATGGACGGAGAGTAGCAGGTTAATAAAATACCCCATAATGGTGGGAGGAATTTGACAGATTTTGATTGGTCACAAAGCGGGGGAATAGTTCAGTTAATCTCTCAATTTTCATGTAAGATACAGAATTAGTTATTATTTGCATTTTCTATTGGAAAATTTTTCTAAAATCATTGGTGAAAATTATTTTCCATTAAGACTTAGGGAGTCAGAGTATCAGGGGATAGAAATGCCACATAGGACTCAGATGGATTTTGATTCTTCAAAAGTGGGGGAATAATTGTTTAATCTCTCCATCTTTCATTTTAGATATAGAATTAATTCATTTTCATTTGCATTTTGTGTAGGAAAATACTTCTAAAATCATTGGTGTAAATCATTTTATGAAAGGAGAGTAGCAGGGGAGAGAAATGACCCATACAGGTGGATTTCTTCCGATAGATTTCGATTGGTCACAAAGTGGGGGATTAGTTCATTATTCTCTCCATTTTTCATGTTAGCTATAGAATTAGTTCATTGTTATTTGCATTTTGTGTGTGAAAATTATTTTGCATTAGAACATATGGAGAGAATGTAGCATGGGATAGAAATGACCCATACAGGTGGATTTTTTCTTATATATTTTATTGGTCACAAAGTGGGGGGTTAGTTCATTATTCTCTCCATTTTTCATGTTACCTACAGAAATAGTCCATTTTTATTTGCATTTTGTGTAGGAAAATTCTTCTAAAACCATTGGTGAAAATTATTTTGCATTAGGCCTTATGGAGAGACTGTAGCATGGGATAGAAATGACCCATTCAGGTGGATTTTTTCTGATAGATTTTATTGGTCACAAAGTGGGGGATTAGTTCATTATTCTCTCCATTTTTCATGTTAGCTATAGAATTAGTTCATTTTTATTTGCATTTTGTATAGGAAAATTCTTCTAAAATCATTGGTGAAAATT